GGATGACAATACTCTGCACATATTGTCATATATCGTTGCCAGGAAAGTTAGTGCCATCTGTAAGTACTGGGAGAAGACAACTGGAAGCTCTTAGCAAGGGACTTTCCCAGCCTCTGCGCCATGTATCTCTTCCTGTGGCTAAATTTAATCTGTATTTTTCACTGTCATAAACCATAACAGTTTTCTATAAGGTCTATGAGTTTTTCTAGCCAATTACAGAAACTGAGGGTGGTCTTGGGGACCCCCTAACTAAATGTGCAATTGCCAGAAGTGAGGATGGTTTGGGGACCCTGAACTCCATAGCCAGTGTTGGGAGTGAGCATAGTCTCACAGATTGTTCTCAAATTTTGCAATATAATATGGTCCTCATTTCACTCCAGGAAGCACTTATCACGACCATAATTGTGCATTTCATTGATTAAGACCAATCTCTTCCACTAAACTCTAAGCACGTTGCGGGCAGGGATCATGACTGCATATGATTCTCCAAGCACCTAGCACAGTAAGCAATCATCCTTTCCTGAAAGACTGAACAGACTGGAGTCAGACAAACCCAGTACCACTACGGCACAATCTTAGCAAGTAAATCAGTGAATTGGTAACAAGACAATGATGCTTTGTAGAGAAGTATTACCAAAATGTCATTCCTGGCATTCCTTAAACACAATTATAATTACTAGTAATTACAATTACTACTTTATTTCTTCAGTGAACCACGTACATGCACACCTATAATTACAGCATATGAATGATTAGTTTAAGACGGCCAGGATTAGTATTACCTTTCTAAATTGATGCAATTCCATCCATAAATACCAAAAATATGTATTTAGTTAATATGTATGACCGTATCATAAATAAATATAATTTTAATTATACTTCTAAAATTTCTGAAAATAGGAGACTCCTGGATAAAATCATTATTAGCTCTTGAAGCCTAGAATTAAGGATTATATTATTTATGTAATATAAAGTTTCTGGCATAGACTCATAGGAGGCATACACTAAAAAGACCAAAAGATATTATTGGGGAATTACAATTAAAAGATATTACTGGGGAATTACTGATAGGTCAGTTCAATAAGAACTGTTGACATAATATAGAACAAAAACCACCCAGGATTATTAGAAAATCACTAATCCTACACATTAATAAACATGGCAAGTATAATACAAATAAACCATTAAATTACAGTTAAAACAGAAATACAGAACTAGAAAAATATCAAGGAACTCCAGAAATTATAAATTGAAACTTTAGTAACATTTATTTTCTTTATAGAGCACTTTCTTTCACCTTAAAAATACCTAGACCTCTATAAATCAGACATCATTAATATCTTACTGTTAGTGAATACCACTGTTAATTGTAATATTCTTAGAGATGAAGAACTCAGTCTACATTTATTGGATATGTAGTATGTACCAGGAACGGTACACAAAAATAAAATCCCAGACTCTTAGGTTCACAATTTAGTGTGGAAGAAATATAGCATGGAAGAAATTAAACACACACACACACACACACACACACACACAAATTTGGAAGAATATAAATGATTTTCAGTGGCTATCTCTGAAACAGGGATTATAAAAGGGACTTTTATTTTCTATATTATATATTTATAATGCTTCAATTTTATAAAATGAGTGCATATTTTTATATACCTTAAAAAATAAAAACTGTCTTTAAAAGGAGAAAAAAACACCTGAAGGACTTTTAAAATCGTCTGTCCCCTACTTTTTCTCTACTATCTAGATCTTGAAAACCAAACAATGGTTTTAAAATTATAATAATTGTCACACACAAATATTAGTACATTAGTAGTACACAAGTACACAAATATTATGATATACAAATTATTTGTGTTAGGGGAAGAGTTAGAAACTCAAAATATTGATCACTAAGAGATTAAATAAATTATAGGACATTTATACCAAGAATACTTTTTTTTTTTTTTAATTTTTTTTTTTCAACGTTTATTTATTTTTGGGACAGAGAGAGACAGAGCATGAACGGGGGAGGGGCAGAGAGAGTGAGACACAGAATCGGAAACAGGCTCCAGGCTCTGAGCCATCAGCCCGGAGCCTGACGCGGGGCTCAAACTCACGGACCGCGAGATCGTGACCTGGCTGAAGTCGGACGCTTAACCGATTGCGCCACCCAGGCGCCCCTACCAAGAATACTTTTAAAGAGTCAGTGTTGTGATGTGGTTGAGAGCAGACACTTCAGAGATATAGTGCCCAGGTTTGCACATCAGCTCTGCCAATGACTAGCTGCTTAACTTGGGCAAGTTTCATAATCTCTCTGGGACTCAGTTTCTACATTTGTGAAATAATAAGGAATCTGTAAAAACCACAGTGTTATTGAGGATCAACTACTACAAACAAATTAATAATAAAAAAAAAATAATACATATTGGGGCACCTGGATGGCTCAGTTGGTTAAAGCATCAACCCTTGATTTCAGCTCAGATCATGATCCCATGATTCCTGGGCTCAAGCCCATGTCAGCGCAGAGCCCTTTTGAGATTCTCTTATTCCTCTCTCTGCCCCTCCCTCAGCTTGCACACATACTCTTTCTCTCTCTTTCTCTCTCTCTTTCTCTCTACCTCTCTGTCAAAACAAACAAATAAACACTTAAGGGAAAAAAAACCTCATGTGACCTCAGAAAAATAAGTTAATTTCTCCAGGCTTCAATTTCTTCATCTGAATTTCTTCATCAGTAACATGAGGATAACAACCTCACTAAGTTGTTGCAAGGATTAAATAAACAATATATCTAAAGCACAATATCTGCTACCCAATAAGAATGATAAATGTTGGCCACTGTTGGCATAGTTATTATTATAGTTCTTATTAAGAAGAGACACGCCTTGTCTTGTTGACCATTATATATACCTAGTACCTAATACCTAGCACAAAGTGCTCAATAACGACTTGTTGATTAAATGAATGAGTCAAACCGTTAAAAGTAGTTGGTAGAAATGGGTGTAGGATTACAAAGATATTCACTTTTATCACTATGTATTTCTGTAGTTTAAGTTCTATCATAAAAAAAAAAAAAAAAAAAAAAAAAAAAACACAGGTTTTCTTAACCTGTAAAGTAAAAGCATGACAGTGTTAATTTCTCTAAAAACACTCAATTTTAAAAAGTTGGGGGGAAATGGAAAGAAGCAGTAAAAGAAAAAGGGAAAACAAGTTACTAAGTGGAATAGCAAAGCCTTGAGCTAAAGTGCAGTAATGAGAATTAGCACTTTTATTTTTCGACCTTTCTAAAGGTTAAACAGATTATCCTAAGCAATTTTTTGAGTCTCAGAAATAAGTGCAATTTTCAAACAAGTGCAATTATACTTAGCTTAGTTTTAAATATCAAACCTCTCTTACTTACTCTCTGTTTTCCAAACAATGGACCAGATAGATATACGGCGGCACCTAATACTAAACACTTCACTGTATGTCCTGGAACAGCCCTTGTCAAGTGTGGTCCATGGAACCCTGGGAATTCCTAAGACCCTTCTCAAGATGTTCATGAGCTCAAAATCATTTCTATGGTAATTCAAAGACAGTCCTTGCCTACTTCCCTGCTTTCATATTTGCACTGATAGTAAAATAGCAACCAATGGTAGATAATACTGCTGGTATTTTAGCACCAATCTAGGCAGTGGCATTAAACTGTTTCACTGACACAGATACACAGTTTAAAAAAAAAAAAAAAAGCCAATTTTACTGAAGACTGTCTTTAATGAAGCAGTAAAAGTTATTTTTATTAAATTCTGACCTTGGAGTACAAGTCTTTAATAGTCTATCAAATGAAATATGTAGCACAAATTAAAGCACTTTCTGCTGCAAACCAAAACATGCTAATCATTTCAAGGAAGGGCAGTGGTATGATTGTTTTGAGTTGTGAGTTAAGTTGGCTGCTTTTTTCCTGGAACATCATTTTCACTTGAGAGCACAAATGGAAGACAAATACGGTTTTTCACACAGGGCATGTGGCAGATATTTTTCTCAGAATTGTGTAAAATGAGTCTGTAACTTCAAGAAAAAAACCTGACAGTATTTATTGTCTTGATAAAATTTAAACTTTCAAGTGAAAACTAGAGTTTGGTATGACTTAGATCCTCCATTGTGAGTTTAAAAGTTTCCTGATACTTAACAACTTTTCTAATTCTACAGATGGTAATATTAATACATGTGACTTGTTGATAAGGTATGTAAACAAATGTGGCAACATTCAGAAGATCTGTAGAAGTCGGTGAATATTTGAAATGACCAATGCACAACGTTGCTGAATGCTGAATGAGTAGAAGATCCATTTGCAGAGAAAGATAAACCAAAAAAAATTTAATATAACAAAGAACAAAGTTCACTGATACTGTTTCAGATTTCACATTTAAAAAAGAAATATTTTTAGAGTTTTGATATAATATCAAAGAATAGAATTCTCTGAAAAAGATTATTAAAATGCTCTTCCCTTTCCAACTACATATGTGTGAGACTGACTTTTCTTCATATACTTCAACCAAAAACAGAACAAAACAAAAACACTGCAAGTAGGAGTATAAAGAAGTAGATAGGAGAATCTAGCTATGTACTATTAAGACAGACATTAGATTTGCAAAAACAGTATTTACAATTTGCAAAAACAACATAAAATGCAAATGTAAAACTTCTTGCTAATTTTGTTTTGGTAAATGTGATTATATTTCATTAAAAAATGTGTTATTTATGTTATCATGTAATGCATTTGTCATTTTTAAATCAATTAATAAGTAACTCTCAAATGCCTTAGTCTTAATGTCTAATATAATAAATATTGATAAATATAATCCATATAAACAGAGAAGCTCTTGGAGACCTCAATAATTTTTAAGAACGTAAAGGGATCCTAAGGCAAAAAAGTTTGAGGACTACTATACCAAAGACACAAAAGTGAAATACAGTTCTTTTTATCAAAAGGATTGCTCTCAAGACTTCAGAGTATCTGAGGACCATACCTGCTTGGCAAAAAATATTGTGTCAAGTCTGGAGTCCTGAACTACAGAGCCTGCTGGTTCTTCTCCTGGCTGCCACTTGAAAAGAAAAATTAACCCATGAACTGGCCTACAAAAGAAAGTACAAATTAGTGACACCAAACCTTTCTTGTTTTTTAACACACAGTCAATACATCACATTTCAGTCAGTTACTTACCAAATATATTGCAAATGAAGTAAGTTTGAGAAATTTTTTAAAGATTTCTATTGTTATTCATTGTCATTAAAATGTTGCCTAAGACAAGGCTAATAAACCTTAAAATTACATCAGGTAAAACAGAATTATAATGAAAGGTTTATTCTCAAATCTGGATTTTCACTTCTACCTTGTATCACCTCTCTTAAAAACTGAAAATAAGAACATAGCAAAACTAAAAGAAGCAGTTAACCCTATATTGAATTCCAATATAGATGAATAAAGCCTACTCCTCGTCATATTCCAAGAATTCAACAACTCTCCCTCCAAAGAAAATTTCCCTAGTCTTCCATTTGCAAAACAGGGTCCATTCTTACGGGCACAAGGTTGGGGATAAGAAGAGGCTCACAAGTCAGAAGCATGGGAGAAAGGAAGAAACTTCCTAGCATCTACATTTGGAATCTGAACTTTAACCTCACCAAGAAGCAAGGCGATAACACACAAATTCTGAATTACTATTAATATATGTTATGTACTAAATATGCTTTGTAGACTAATCTAATATTCAGGTATTCACATTTTTAATGTGAAAATGTGTTCTGTCTTCTAGTCCTATTGATCTATAAGTGAATATTATAATAAATTAATCAACCATCTTGATATGGAATTACAGAGACTTAGTTTGTAATCCCTTGCAAGTTACTTATATGAGTCTCAGGTCTTGATTATGATATGAGAGTAATAATACCTCTCTCACAAGATGGAAAAAAGACTTAAGGAGATGACATATTCAGCCTACTGTAATCCAAGTAAAATAGACAACAATCTGCTTAAAGTACAGACATTATTTTTAACACAACTAAGATAATACTTACTTTAATTTTTCAAAATTCTCAGGCTCTAAACTCCATATTTCTTCTACTTGGGCTCCTCGGCAACCTGAAATAAGATATTATTTCTTCAGAAAACAAAATAACTCATTTTTTCCTTCACCATTAAATAAAATACTAACTGAAAGGAATGTACATTTAGGGGCCATGAGACATGACAAATTAAAATGGTAAAACTGATAAAGCTCACAGACAAATCCTTTTAATTCCCTTACTATTTCCTAATTATTTATAATGGGAGTATATTACTTTTACAATTGAAAGAGGTTTCAAGTTTATTTTCACTGAAACACCACCCCGACTTCTCAGTCCCTCTCAATCTGTCTCTTTTACAATCCACTCTTTCTACTCAATTGCTGTTTCCCTTTTACTTACACTTTTTTTTTTAAGTGGTAATAAATAACTACCACTTACCAGTGACTTTCATATCACATATTTAGCTCTGACCCTTTCCCTAAATTCCAATTCTATACTTTTTAATTTATTTATTTAATTTTATTTTATTTTCAACTACCTCAGAGTCCACCAAACATACCCTTCCTTAGGACAGTGGTTCCCAATCAGGGGAACTTTTCTTGTCCCTTGCCTCCCTAAGAAAGGTTTTACAATGTCTGGAGACATTCGTCACAACTGTCACCAGTGGGAAGTCCTTGCATCTAGTGGACAGAGGCCAGAGATGCTAAACATCCTACACTGCACAAGACAGCCAAACAGCAAAGAATTATCTCGCCCAAAATGTCAACACTGCCAAGACTAAGACACCCTGCTCTAGTAGTACATATCAGAGTAACAGTGTACTGGTTAAGAGGTTGGCCTCAAAAATGCCACGGTTTGCATCCCAGCTCTTCCATTTACTAGCTATATAACCTACCTCTCTGTTCCCATATTCATGGAGTTGTTGTGAGGAATAAATGAGATAATTTTGTATGCATGAGATACATTTAATACAGTGCCTGGCACACTCTAAGGGTTTACTAAATGTTAGCTAGTACCATCAAAATACAAAAAAAACAGCCATATTTACCAGTGCCTTCTATGTGTAAAGTGCTTTAAATGCATTTTCTCTAATCACTGCAAGGCAAGTATTACACAGAAGAGGGTTAGGGATGTTAAGTGTCTTGCCTAAATTCACTACAGCTAGTATATACAAAAAAAACTAATTAAAATCCACATCTGGTTCCAAAGTCTGGACAGTTTTTAATATTCCAGATTATTGTCAAGTAAAAGCTAGAGAAGCCTTTGGCCTATCTGGGAAAAAAAAAAAAAAAAAAAAGAAGTTACAAAAAAAATTCAGTCAACCAACTACATGACTTTGGGCATTCATACCATTCCAGGACTCAACTTGTTATATTCAGCAACTATCTATTAAGAATTCACTCTTGTATTAAAGATATACATACAAGGAGAGTTATAGGCTGTTTGTAGTAGAAAACATCTTGATAGACATTTACATATAGGAAGCTGGGGGGAAAGAACTTACAAATGTAAACCTGTATTTATGAGCATTGAAAAGGGCACAAAAGGACACTAATGCAATTGTTAATACTGGTTACTGCTATTGGAAATCAATTGCAAAAAGGCCAAACATTAAAACATAGTATACTAAAAGAACAAAAGTCCACTGCATAAAAGTGTCCCCAAATCTTTTGCACGGGTAGAATTTCAAGTGATGATGCCTGTTTAAACAACTTTAAGCTAAACAAACACACAACTTTTGGGGTACAAAAGACATACTACACAACTCTTAATACCTATCTCCTTATATACATTCAGTATCTAATAATTCCCTTATGTACATTCAATTTCAAATAATGCATGGTATAGGAAAGAGAAGCAATGATTCAAGAGGCCTGGTTCCAATCCGAGCACTGCCTTAAAGTTCTTAAACTTGAGCAAGAACATAATGTCCTAGAGCCTCACTTTCCTCATGTATAAAACAAGAATACCTCCTGCTTCATCCAATCCACACAATTCTTGTGAGGTATACATTATCAAACACCAAATACAATGAATCACTTAATGCAGACTCCCTAACATATACTAAGTAAAAAGGTGGGTGTGGGGAGAAGGCTTTAAAAAGTTAACAAAATGCTGGTATTTTACAAATACCTTTTATGTGCCAAGCATGGTACTACGTCCTGGCATGGACAGAAAATAATAAACAATAGTTGCAATACTTACAAACTTCACAACTAAGGGGAGCCTGGCTGGCTCGGTCAGTAGAGCATGTGACTATTGATCTCAGGGTCCTGAATTCTAGCCCCACGTAGTGGGTAGACTTTATATAAAAATAAACAAAACAATACTTCACAACCAGTAGGAAACAGGTATATACAACTCAAAGGGCAGCATGCATAACATGCCTATGAGAGGTACACCAGAGAGCCTTCTGGAAGTTAAGAAGCAGGAGAGATCATTACTATCCTTGCTGATCAGAGCAACTTTCATGGATAGTTGAACTAGGTCTTAAACAGGATTAACATAGGATTTGTCATCCAAACCAGGACTCTGCTCCAAAATGAAAGGAAGTACTGAAATGAAAACGTTTGAGATATTTGTGTATTGACTAACACATTTGTATTATGATACTGGTGGCTCTGTAAAATAGTTCTATTCAAAAACTAATTTCAAAAATAATTTTCTTTAAAATATACCTGGAGCTTTTCTCCTGAAGAAAGATAACTCTGGGAGGGCCCTCTGTTGCCAATGCTTTAAATTTAAATGTAATGCTATCTTCCAAAAGTTTTGACAATTTGTTATTCCCCTAACCTCACCAAATCTACGAGAAGTAAAGACATGGCCCTGGCTTCTACACCTCCTACAAAAAATAGTCCCAGATATCATCCCTAACCATGTCATTCAATGGTATGGACAAATGTCATTTAGTGATGTCACCAAGTAGGAAAATCTGCATTGTGGACAATCACCCCAAAAACAAGGACGAGACTCAAATATTTGTGAACCCCAAACTGGAGAGCTGTGAATTTGTATCCCTAATGAGAAGGCTCCATTTTGGGGTCCTCAACAATTATAAGCAATACTTGCTTCTAAGCATACTAGATGCACTCTCATAAGTATACTTTGACTTATGAAAGTATGAGTCAAAGTATGAAAGCCAAGCATTAACTTGCCTCTCTCCTCCAAACAAGGGAACATGTACCTCAGGAGAACTCCTAACAGAGCTTCATGTCAAGGAAACACTATATTGGCCCCAAGTCATTCAGATTTGTCTCAACTCCTGGGCCAGAGTTGTTGTGAATGATGGAATTCTGCAAGACTCCCTCCTGGCAAGCCCAGGAGGAGTCTGTGCAATTACTACCTATACCTGAATTATGGCCTTCAGCCAAGATGAAAGGTCAAAACAAAAACTTAAGGAGAAAGCCACTGCTTTCTAATGTAAACACAGTAAGAGATAAATTAAACAGATTCGGTACCAGCTCTGTGGGTCAGATCAGATTAATCAGAGAAGCTGAAGGGATGGCATGTTTGGGGTAGAAAGGAAAAATGGATTTTATTGGGAGACAACTCTCAATGAGTTTCTCCTGTTTCTGCTTATCTTCTGGGAGGAGTTCTGGACTATCGTTTCAAGGATGTTATTTCAATAAACAGACTTGAAAGATAGATAATGTCTCCCCCTGGTGCAAAGACAAGACTTACGTGCTGTCCATAGTATCTTCCTAAAGCCAAAGGCCGAGCAGGTTTGCTAGCAGCCTCTTTAATAAAATTGGAAGTTCCCTAAACTCAGGGTTCCTTAGCTATGACACAGACCCATGTGTGCAACATCCACCTCTATCTAGTGCCACTCCCATGGACTTGTAGGACAAGGGATCCAATGCAAATGTGAATCTCCTGTTGCCTACTGTGCCAAGGCTAATACATAATACAGTCTTTTATCTCTTTATCAATATATATTCAATAATACAATCCTTTATAATATAAACAGGCTAACTTGTTAGCTGGCAAACAGGGTAAAATATAATAGTCCATATTTCTTAACAGATGTTGGATTTTATCAAATGCTTTTTGTGTCTATTAAGATAATCATATAGGGGCGCCTGGGTGGCTCAGTCGGTTGAGCGTCCGACTTTGGCTCAGGTCATGATCTTGTGGTCCGTGAGTTCAAGCCCCGCGTCGGGCTCTGTGCTGACAGTTCAGAGCCTGGAGCCTGCTTCCAATTCTGTGTCTCCCTCTCTCTCTGCCCCTAATCCACTGGCATTCTGTCTCTGTCTCTCTCAAAAATAAATAAACATTAAAAAATTTAAAAAAAAGATAATCATATAGTTTTTTGGGTTTTTTTGTGTTACTTTGGTGAATCACACTGAATCCCAAATATTAAACCAACACTGAATTCCTAGGATAAACCCCACTCAGCCATGACATACTGTCCATTTAATAGATTATTAGATTTGATTTACTAAAATTCTGTTTAGAATTTTTGCATTTATGGAGCGCCTGAGTTGTTCAGTCAGTTAAGCATCCAACTTTGGCTCAGGTCATGATCTCATGCCTCAAGGGTTTGAGCCCACATCCGGCTCTGTGCTGACACCTCAGAGCCTGGAGCCTGCTCTGATTCGGTCTCCCTTTCCCCACTCATGCTCTATCTGTCTCTCTCTCTCTCTCTCAAAAATAAATAAACATCAAAAAAACATATTTTTTTAAGAATTTTTGCATTTATGTTGATGATGGAGTTAGGTCTGTAGTTTCCTTTTCTTGTAATGTCTTTTCTGTATTGGGTGTTAGGATAATGATGGCCCTCAGAGAATATTGGGAAATATTCCTTCCTCTCCATTTCTTCTGGGAAAAGTTTGTATAAAATTGGTATTACTTAATCCTTAAATATTTGAAATAATATACCAGTGAAGCAATTTTGGCTACAGTTCTCTTTGTGGGAAGATTTTAAGTTACAATTTCAATTTATTTAATAAAGTAAGGCTATACTGGTTATCCATTTCTTCTTGTATAAGCTTTGGTAATTTATGTCTTTAAAGATATTTATACATTTCACCCAAGTTGTCAAATTGATTGGCATAATAATGTTTAGAATATTCCCTTATTATCTTTTTAATCTACAGGATCCATAGTGGTATCATCTTACTCCTAATATTGGTCATTGTGTCTCCTCTACTTTTTCTTTCCCTTTTT